TTTCGTTCTCATTTGTTTTATTGTTCATTCTTTTGCTCATTCATTCCATTCAGTCCACCATTCCTTTATGTTGTAGGTGAAGAGCCCAGAGAAGAAAGAAGGGAACAAAAGGTCAAATTAATGTAACGAAAACAAGCGATAGAAAAAAGATTATTCTTATTGTGTGTTGGCAATTTTTCACGTTGGAAAAAAAGAGATCGATCAAGTTTGATTTTGACATCTATATGGAAGACGATGACGATATGTTTTGTTTGTTGTTTTCCTTTATTCTGGTTCAGAAGAGAGATTTTCTAAAAACCGTATATCTTTCTTTGCTTTTAATGCTCCAAAGCGAAATCGTGTGGCTTTTCCTTCGGACAAAAAGCTTCATTTCAATTTCACTGTTTTTCTTCGCCCTAAAACCCCTCCAAAACAAATCTGCGTGGCTTTCCTTCTTGTGCGTTGGAAAGAGTCTTTTACTCGATTTTTCGCTCAGAAGACTGACTCAACTTTCAATTTTCAAGCGGACTTCAGAGGGCTTCAAGGGGGCTTGAGAAGGGCCTTGAATACGGAAGACGATGACAAAAAACTTTGTTTGTTGTTTTCCCTTATTCTGGTTTCAGAGGAGAAATTTCACAAATCCTATATCTTTGTTCGCGCTCAAGTCTCGAAAACGAAGGCCACAAGATTTGATGCAGTGTGGGTGGCGTGTACATGCAAGTGATTGCAGCCCAAGTTGGTTGTGCTTCGTAACAGACGAGGGCGCGACGTTTGTGAAAGCTATAAATCCCAGCCGGAAGAATCGACAAAGAGAAATAGGGTCCGATGTGTTTTGGCCCCCGGAACCATTTGGAGCAGGCTCGTGCTGAGAATGCTGCAGGCCAACAATTCCCAACTCAGAGCTAGCACGGACCCGCTGGGCGACCACCCACTGCAGTGAGGTGATGAGTTCCGCCGGCACATCAATTTGCAGCCGCACACAAGGGCACTTGTTACGTCCATCTGTGGCACGCTCATAACCTTATAACCGCATGCACGTACGTTAGGGCATGCATCTGGCTCATCCACAAGCTGTCGCAGAAGACATGCGAGCAGCTGCACGGGCACGTGTGCACCACAGCGCAGAAGCGGCGAAGTTCGGGGGGGGGCAACATGTGCTGCGCATCCGAGTTGACCGGTGACTGCATGCCGTGGGAAGCATGCACTTTTTCTTGGCCATTTGTGCGTCCCCTTGCCGTTCCTGCTCTGGTTCCGTGATGAAAGTCTCTTGCAGCCAGCAACTTGCCTTGGCTCAATGTGTTTAGGGCAACGCAGTTCCAGGCCGTGGCACAGAACAAGCCTCAGCCACGCAACAAGGGTCCGAGTTGTTCGTTGCTATCATCGATGCATTGGGGCCCAGACCGCATCTACCCCCAAGCAGGAAGGAACTTGCACTCGTAGTTTGTTGTACCAAACTTCAGCGATCTTACAGCGTCTCGGGATGTTCTACCTGAGCAAGGCGCTGCCAAAATGGGTTTCGGGTGCCATGAGTTGTAGAGTCACGTAAAACCGTTCAGAATGGTGAATCAGGTCGATCTTGGAAGGTTCATGCGTGGGAATGATGGCACTGGGTGTAGGTTTAGTGTGTGTGGTTCACGAAGCTCCGTAGAGCCGTAGAGGTTGTGAATGCGTGGCTCTCACTGCTTTCATCTGGTTGCAGCTTGGGAATCTGCTGGACGAAATCGATGGCGGTTCCGGCGAGAAGGTTCCTGGCTATGTTGTTGCAGCTTTCAGGGTAGAGGGGATCTCAGTTGCGTCTTCTGCCAGGAAGGCGATGCGACCGACGCCAAATCCGAGGTCAGGAACACGGCCCGCGTTAGATTCTCGAGCAGATCGCTTCCAAGCCCAGGGCCAGGGCACACTGGCTAACTCGCTCGGCGGGCTGCTCACCTCGGCGTCCCTCGCTGCAGGCTTGTGATATCGTGTCCCATCTGCGCTGCTAAATTGACTTACAGTCTTGTCTCGCAAGAGTCTTGTCTTAGCTCTGACTAGGTGCACCCCTGGTTTTCTGAACGTTGAGGGTTTTGAGCTGGCTGTCTGCCAATCGCAGGTTCGGTGGCCTCCAGCTCGACAAGTGCAGCCAAGGCGGCTCGTGAGCTTCCTTGGTTTTGTCTCGTATTTTCTGACCTGGATTGAATGGGTGGAATGGGATGCTATGAGCTGGGAGCGTGTGCAACTCGTCGGGATATTGTGCATGAGGAAGCTGCTGAGCGAGCCCGAATCTGACAGGCGCAGCTTGGTGCCATCACATCTTTGCTCGGCGAGGAGTGGCCAAATCACCCGCTCTGCGCGATTTCTGCTGATGCTGGAGTCTGCTGAGTTCGCGCAGGATGAGGACGAGCCTGAGGAGCAGGTGCCCGACAAGGCCTTGGGGCTTTGAGGTCGTTCGGCTCTGATTCGCAAAGAAGTGTCCATCCTAGCGGATACGGCAGATACTGGGTCACTTGGCATCAGCACAGGCGCAAAGCAGCCGACTGACGGAGCCACCTGCTCCTGATGCCGATGGGCACCGAACGGGCCAGGACGTCACAGCTCTGGCAACGACGGCCTCGTGGCTGAAGTCATCTTAAGTTCCCCAAGAAGAGGGCAGACTTGCAGAGCAACGAGGTGCCAGCAGGAGCACAACTTCCGGACGAAGTACCCGAGGCGTCGCCAGGCTCGCGGTCTAAGCCCGACTTTACCCAAACGGGACGAGGCCTCCCCGGCTCCCTCGGCCACCAGCGAGCTCGTGGCGGGCTGGAGCTTCGAGGCCTTCCTGCAGTCTTCGGGCCGGCAAGGTTTCTGTGAGAGCATGATCTTGTTATGCTTGTTATGGCATCTAACTGCGGCCGTGGCATCAGTGAGGGTAGGCGAACATGAGCCATCAAAAGAGTTGGTCGCACGGACTCTTGTTAGAGAGGTGGTCGAAGACTGTTGCATAAGGATCTGCAAGGGGTCCTGGGTCAAACTGCACGTGCCGGGACCTGCATTCGCAATGCAAATTCGCTTCCGGTCCGATGCCATGGGCTGAAGGCCTCCGTTTCATACAGGAATGATGTTAACCTTACGTTTGGTTGCGGCGACGCTGCCATTTACTTTGGGCCAGGACAGACTTTGCGACCCCGGAGCATTGGTTTAGTTAGAGCCTTGCAGAGGTGGTTGGGGGGTGTTCACCCATTCGATTAGCAGCTTTTCCTGTGCAAGCTTGTGCGGCCGAACTTCTGTTCGAGGACCTGTACGAGAACACGGGCTTGCTTGCCGAATATTTCGCGCCCACGATTCCTGCAGAGCTTTGTGACTCCGCCAATGGTTCTACTCAGGCACCAGCACCAGCACCGTGGTGTACCTGCCAGCCGTGCAGTGAAGAACGGAAGGGTATCGGAGCCATGGCAGGTGTTGACCAGCAGGCTGCCAAATATTGCACGGAGAGTGCTGAGGAATCCTGGCTGTGCTAGACCGTGCTGATGGGAAGCCAAGTAGATTTCATTGAGCCTACAGTCGAGGCTGGATTTCGACAATCGAGATCGTTTCGAGTTAGACAGATGCGCATGGGAGGAGGACATCAGAGTATTCGCATGCCTGTGTAGCGAATGGTTCTCGCGTGAGGAGATGCAAGACGACCTGGTGTTCTCCTGCCGTGGCCAGGAAGAACTGCGAAAGAATTTTGCCGCGCGGTACAGTGGCTATTTATACGTCTTTCTTCGAGGCTCGTGGTGGCAGCAAGTGCAACAGCTCATGTGCACCTGGAAGAGGCTAGTAAATACAGACATGCCTGCCCAGAGGATTTTACACCTTTGAGATTGAAGCGGACGATGGCTTTCGGATGGTTCTCGGTCATGATGCCTGCCCTGGTAAAGGTTGTGCCACGAGGCAGGGGCACGGCAGATGCCGACCTGAGGCTGAAGTTGTGTTCGCATACCAGACAGCCCTTATCATGTTCTCCAGAGTAATAACACCACTGTATTTTAAGAAAAGCATCGTGTGCTATATGTCTGATGTACGTATTATGTGTTCATATAAGTACATATGTATATATATATATATATATTATATGTATATGTGTATATGTATGTGTATACCCAAGCATGCAGACAGACAGTCAGACTGACAGATGGAGATGGTAAGTACACAGGCAGACAGACAGATACCTACATAGACAGTTCGGAGGTCATATCATGATGCAGGGTGTCTGAATTGGCTGGCGCTTACACATGTCATCACATGTCCATGTGCACACCACAGGTCATGTATTTTCGTGTGTGTATATACATACTCATTATGCATGTATGTGTATGCGTACATGCATGGGTATGTGTATTATGTATATATGTGTAACATATATATATATATATGTATCCACGCGATTATTCGCCATGTGTATGTAAGTATCCGCCATGTGTACATCTACTTGCAGAGGTATGTATGTGCATGTGTACATACGCATATGCAAGAGCGCTTACATGTTGTGTATGTGTGTGAATATATTTACACATATAGATATAGAAGCCTGTTACCTCATAAATGGTCATACCACCGAATGTGTGTCTGTGTGTTCTGCTCGATCTCAAGAATGTCTTGATGCAGGTACGATGTTCAAAACTGGGCGATGCAAAACATGAGGAAAAACAGGGTTGATGATGGATCCTACGGCAACCAATGTGGGGAGTGCGCTCAAGGAATCTATGTGGATTGCTTTGTCACAGACTGGGGCTGTGAGCCCTTTAGCCTCTGGCAGTTAGAGGGCGATGGGGGTCTTTCCGGCACCTGCAATAGCGGGCCTGTGAGACGGAGCAGCAAGCGATGGCTCGAAGCTGGCTTGCACCCACTACGCATCGAGTATTTTCAACGCGGCGGAGATGCTAAGCTGCTCTTCAGATACTCCGGACCAGATACACAGGAGAACATGATCGTCGTGCCAAGGCAGAAGTTGGGCTTCCCAAGGTACATTGGATTCATGAAAGAAGTTTTCGATGTCTCGGAGGATGACCCGACGATGCTGCCACCTGCTGCTAATTTGGGCGCAGCTTACCCGAACGCAAGACTGCTCTACCGCATGGACGACAACTTCCAGAACACAGGTCCCGGTGAAGGAGACTTGAGTGACGAGGTTGAGATGCTGGCCCGACCGCTCTACATCCGCTGGCATGGCTATTTCCTCATTGCAAATGGTGGCGAGTATATTTTTCGAATCCGATCGGATGATGGCGGCCGCCTGACCATGGGTGGTCGGGGTCTTGGCGGAGAGTCCGCGGTTGTCACGAACGATGGCCTGCAGGAAGGGGCCTCCACGCAGGACTTCCGGCTCTTCATGCTGCCTGGCTTGCACCCTGTCCGGATCGAGTTCTTCTGGAAGCCGGATGCCAGCCCCGTCGTGTCCGTGGAACGGCCACCGGGCATCCAGGCACTCGGACGCAACAAGTAATCAGCCTTCCACCTGTCGGATGTTCTTCGGGGTCGTTGGGGTTCAAACTTCCCAAACTTTCCAGGTGCTGTACTCGGGCTTTGACACGGGTGGCTACTTCCTCTCGGTGGCGCGTGACAGAGCGGGCCGGGTCACGCAGAACGAGTTCGACTGTGAGCTAAGGCCGAGCCGGGCAGTTTGACAGAATCTTGAGATATGACTACAATAAATTAGGAGGTGCTTGAATGCTTATGTCCTGAGTTTCCAGAATCCCTGTGAGGCGTTTCAGCTGGGGCAATGGCATGTCCGTCTCGCGTGACTGCCAGGTCGCGCAAGATCTGGCTATGAAGTCCTCCTCCTTCCTTCTCTCTCTCTTTCTCTCTCTCTCCCTATCTCTCTCTCTCGCTATCTCTCTCTCCCTCTCCCTCTCCCTCTGCCTCTGTTCCTTTCTCTCTCTCTCTCTCCCCTCTGTCTCTGTCGTCTCTGTCTCTGTCTCGGTCTCGGTCTCCGTCTCCGTCTCCGTCTCCGTCTCCGTCTCTGTCTCTCTCTCTCTCTCTCTCTTTCTCTCTCTCGCTCTCTCTAGTTCTCGCTTTGCTCGCCCTTGCTCTCATTAGCTGCTAATCTTAGCTCTCTCCCCATCTTGCTCTGTCTCTGCTGCTTCGTGTGTCTTCGATTGACATTCAGACAAAAATGTATGAAAACAGATGTGTATACACACAGATATGTATGTAAGAGACACACGCAGACACACAGATGTACGCCTAACGGCCGCCTAACTGGCGGATGGTTGAAGTGAGCTTTGAAAATCATCTATGTACACACGCAGAGTGCAGGTACTTATGTAGATGCAAACTTAAAGGCATGCATGTGCACATGCACAGACACGACCTGGCCTTTCTGCGATCAGGGCCGGTGCTTCGCCAGCTCGGAGGCCGTCGTCGGGGACAGGGTTTGCGACAACGGTGAGGCTGGCTCTTTCAACCTGGCATGCGTCTTGGATGTGTAGAGAAGAGGATTTCGAGAATAGTGCCTATAACAGCAGCTTCAGTAATCTAAAACCTTATTTGAGCCAGGCTAAGGCTGCTAAGGGTCATAGCGGTTCTGTACTTGTTGAACGTACCAGTTGCAAACACCAACGAAATGCTTTCACAGCAGTATAGTCTTGCTTTTGGCGATACCGGCACTGCTAGTAGTACTATTGATGCCAATTGCGATGATGCATCTAGCATTATGAAAGTCTCTCACAACAGAACAGGTCTTCGTTTTCAGGGCAATTCTTCTCAGGGCCAGTGAGTGTTTGACATGCAATGTTTTCAATGAAAGTTCAGGGTGTCAGAGCGACGAACATGCATGAGGTCTTGGAGCCGCAAGCATTATGTTGGGGGCTACGAACGAAAACGCATCGGTTCACCAAAACAGGAACCTGACTTCAATTGATTTCTGAAGTTTGCAATTGTTCCCCATTAGGTGTTGTGAGCAGTTATGTGGGATAGTGGCTAGGTGCCTCGAGCTTCAGAGAGCTAGTTGTGACTCTGGGCCTTGAGCAATGCCGTCTTGTTCCAAATCTTTTGCCGCATCAAGCCTTCCAAGAGTTCACAAGCTCAGGTGAGGATTACAAGTTCGACAACTTCGACTGTGCACCAACATATCCGGTTGAGTTGCAGACCACACCGCGGCCCAGCATCACGTGCCTGCAGTCGTGCCAAGCAGGCAACTTCAGGCATGTGGTCTGAAAACGGGTCGAAGCTTTCAATTTCAATGTGGCAATACCGTAGGGGCAGCAGAAATAGAAGTGCTGGTGGCAGTCGTAGTCACAGTCGCAGTCGTAGTTGTACTCGTCGTCGTGGTGGTGGTGGCAGTAGTAGTTTAGTGGTGGTGGTAGTAGTAGTAGTAGTAGTAGTAGTAGTAGTACTTAGTAGTAGTAGTAGTAGTAGTAGTAGTAGTAGTAGTGGTAGTAGTGGTAATGGTAGTGGTCGTGGAGGTGGTGGAGGTCGTGGAGGTCGTGGAGGTCGTGGTGGTAGTAGTAGTAGTAGTAGTAGTAGTAGTAGTGGTAGTAGCGGTAGGAGTAGCAGCTAGCAGCTAGCAGCTAGCAGCTAGCAGCTAGTAGCTAGTAGCCAGTAGCCAGTAGCTAGTAGCTGCTAGTAGCTAGTAGCAAGTAGCTTACAGTTAATAGTTAATAGTTAATAGTTAGTCGCTAGCAGCTAGCAGCTAGCAGGTAGTAGCCAGTAGCTACTAGCTACTGGTAGTTAGCAGCTGGTAGCCAGATAGTGGTTAGTAGTGAGTAGTGAGTAGCTAGTAGTACGTCTAAGAAGTAAGTGTAAGTAGTGGTGGTGGTGGTGGTGGTAGCAGCAGCAGAAGATGGTCGTAGTCGTCGTGGTGGGACCTTTGAGCTCTAAAACCCGCGACCGCGACCCATCGCCACCATCACCACCACCAGCAGCACCATCATCGTCACCATCATCGTCGTCATCACCTGCATCATCATCAGCATCGAGAATGCAGCAGGGCTGGGTTTCTTGGGCTTTTATCAGGAGAAAGGATTGCTCGACTTGCACTTCAACGAATTCGGGAGGAGACTCGGCTACAGTCTTTGCTTGTGAAGTTTAGTTAAGTTTAGTTGTGTTCTCCAGACGACGCCTGCGAGGAGATATCTGTATAGAGAGCTATGACGACTACTGCCCATCCGGAATCAAGGAGGATTGCACCTTCATTACGTGCTGTGTTGCAGAGGCTGGCGAACCCTCCTACCCTGCTTGATGGAGCAAAGTGGTCTGGAAAGATTTTGCCCTTGGCAGGTCAACGGCTTGAATTATTGGGGCAAGGATTGCCTGGCCTTCGGCACATCCACGAACTGTACAGGCCTGTCTTCTGAAGCCTGGAGACTTAGCCTCGACGGTGTCGGATGCCCTGCGAGGCAAGTTGCGGACGATCTTGGATCGAATCCAGCAAACGCCCTTACTGCTGGATGCAAGCTCTGCCTACGATCCCATCATCCCCAGGCTCGGGATGAACGCCCACACTAAGATGTTGCAGAGGGGTTCTGTGTGTTCCATTAGAGGCCTCCGCCCACTGGGCGTCTCACGAACGAGTGCTATCAAAGCAATTGCAACACCATCAGCGAGGAGCTGCTAGGGAATCTAAGGGGCCTTCGCCTTTCGCGGCTTTCGCACCTTGCTACCTATACCGACCTTGCAGGAATACATCGTCAACCAATTCACCGGCTTTCAGACCGACCAGCGCGTCTGCCCCGTCGAAGAGTCTCCGGATCGCGGGTTTGAGTGCTTTATCGGCCCGTTTGAGACAGATGGGGTCACGGACGTGTTGCAGCAGTGCCAGAACGGGAGATTCCAGTGGAACTTCTGTCTGAATCGGAAGACGATCGATGGCAGACCGCACACGGCGGGGAAAGGGGCAAGGGTGAGCATACACTACCGCGAGAAAATGTAGCTGGAATCAGCATGACAATGCCCTGCCAGGCGTGTTGCAGCTTTCTGTACCTGAATTCTCGTCAAGGAGTTGAATGTCGCATGATGGGCGTCGCACAGGGTACGTGTGCGAGTCTTCTGGAGGAGAGCTCCTGTTTAGTTCAGGTTGAAGTCAAAGGCAATTTTGCAAGCCCGAAGTTTGATGCGTCTTCAGGAGTTGACACGAAACTTGAGCACCAGCACCTACACGATGATCACCAATGGCCAGGTCTTGAAATCATGCTCCACGGACGGCTGCAACAATCCGGACGATGAGATTGCAGGTGCTGGGCTGGGGGCTGGGCGGTCGTGGGCTGTTCTGGCGGTCTTGCAGGCTGTCCGGCTATGGTGGACAGGGCGCCGGCCGTGACAGATGGAATAAGGCCCTGCTGTCGCCTGCATAGGCATCCTGGGCCATGGAGAGAGGAGGGCAAAAGCTCGAAGTTGGAAGGACCACCGGCGAACCGACCAGGGAGGAGATCTTGGAAGGCTCTGTGGTTCGCCCGCCGGAGCCGCCGCCCTGGGGCCTCATCGGAGCGGGCATAGAGAAACCGCAACGAGCTGTTTCTTACCGCTTGGAACGGATGATTTCGGGTTAGGGCTCTCTGTGCATCCAGGAGGACTGTCCTCGATCCCCTTCGCCATGGTTTGCATCGCCATGGCCCTGAGCAAGGCCGGCGTCTTCAAGGAGGCGATCGAGCCGCTGTTCCACAGCAGCAAGGCAACCGTGGTCGCGGAAGATACCTTCATCGCCGCAGGGCCTATTTAGCTGGTGGGGAGAGGATAGACGTAATGTTTCAGTCTGTGCAATGGTGCACGATGAGAAATCGCGAATGAAAACGTCCTGTCTGAATGTCTACGCATCGGTCTTCTCTGACCCCAGGGAATGCATGGGCTGCACCTCTTCATGCTCATGATGCTGCTTCTGTGATGTTGGCTGTCGTTCCAGGTTTCTAGCGCCGGCATGTAGCGCTTAATGCCCTAGCTCGCGCCAGTGAGATCCCTCTCGCATGGCTTCCATGCTGCGGCTTTTGCCTTGAGAAGTCGCGTGCCCTAAGCGAATCAAACCCTGTGAGGGCGGGGAGTGTCAGAGCGGAGCGTAGGAAAAGATATGGCCAGAGTGCACGAAACAACAGGAAGGCATGCACACAATCAAGCATGTGCTGTGGGCTATTGGGGGGAGGATGGGGAGGGCGGGCAGCATAGATGCACAGAGAAGCAAGAAGTGCAAGCACTATGTGCAAGCAAGATGTGCTTTGATGCCATCCCAGGAGCCACAGAAGGATCTCATGACCAGTGGAACCAAAGGCATGGACCAGAATCTGACCTATGGTCGGGTCGAACCGCGTAACCTGGCTTACAGAGCTTGCGCATGGCTCGTGCAGATCATGACATCTCGCCGAGGTCCCCTTGGCCTCAGGAACCAACTGGATAATGTCAAGGCCTGGTGGGGGATCGCAGAGAAGGGTTAGTCTCCTTGGTGACAGCTCGGGTGAAAGGCTCTCCCGCTGGCGCTGAAGCAGAAAGCTGAGACGGCCGTGCCGGAGGCAGCCAATGCTGCTTGGGTGGATGCCATTGTTGCGGAGGCAAGCTGCCCCTAGAGTCAGAGTGTCTCTGGGTTTGTCCGTGAATGTCCGTTCATTGTGACAGGCCACTATCCAGCAGGTGACGCCGGACCAGATCCATCCACTGCCCGATGTTTTGGAGGGAACCACCTACACAGGTGAAGGTGCGATCTGTCTACCTGAGGACCAGGGCGTGCTTCCAGGGGAATAGTCCACTGTCACTCAAGCTTTGCCCTCACAGCATTGCTCAAACCGTGCTGTGCCAAGCGGCTGCTTGGAGGGCTCGACTGAGCAGCGGAAGCGAAAGCTCCGGGATCTTAGCTTCTTTTATTCTGATGGTTCCGTTTCCAGGACCTGGACATGCCATTCACCGAGAAGCGGGCCCTGGCGCTTCAGCCGGCGGACGACTTCCTCCGCCGCCTTGCCTTGCTTTGCTGGCGTGGTCACTGCATGCCAGCCCAAACGCTTCTGGCCCCACCAACTTGTTGTCCAGTCTCGATCCTTCATGCTTGCATGGCAGATCCGAGCAAGAGCCAGAGCCAAGACGACCTGAGCAATCATCACCAGGCAGCCTGATGTGCAAATTTGACGACTGCATGTCATGCATGCGTTGAGCTGCTTGCACGTGTCTGGTCACAGGCCGTCAGCAATGGTGGCTCTAGCCGGCTGTGCCACGGCCTGTTAAAGAATCAGCGCATAGCGAGCGCTTTAGGAGGGGAAGCTCGAAAGCTGCTTCCGCCGAAACAAGCGGTCGAGGCCCCCCGGTTTTTCTCAACTGCAAAGCATCCCATAGTCTTGAATGCAGAGTCCGGCTTTCCAGTTGCAATCCACACATCCAGAACTGCACATGCCTTCGGGCCGTGTGCTATCTAGTCTTCCTGTGCGGGCATTGCAGAAGGAGCTTTGCCAAGGGACTTTCCCAACCTTGATTTGTAACGACTACTGGCTAAGACTAAGACCTGTGTCTAAGACGTTTGTCTTGCATCCCGCTGTTGAGTTTGGGTCCATCCTGGCCGAGAGACGCTCAGCGTAGCCTTTAACTTAAGCACATGACCCAGCCCCGAGTCTACAGCCTCGAGCCTGCTAGGAACACGTCGCGAACCGGTGCTGGCAGCAGTTTCGCTGTCAGCCGGGCCCACAGCAAAAGGTCGTGACCAGTCAGCACACAGTGGCCTCAGGCCCTAAGCCCTGTTCAACTTGAGCTACAGTACCACCAGACCCGTGCCAGAAATCCGCTCACTCTGAACATGCAGGATAATGACCACGGCTCGGACCGTGACATCGGGTGCCTACAGCAGCCACGCTGACCTGCTGACTGTCACCGAGAGACCTCTGTCGGAAGGTGGGCCAGGGTTGGGTGTGGGACAGAAGCTACTCGTCGCTTGGCATTGCCCAGTGCGACATGATTCTCTAGGCCGCCTGCGGAGAACATGGTGGAACCACCAGAGCCAAAGCTTTGTATCTGAAAGCTTGTGTCTCATCCTTCGCTTCTCCTGTCTTGAAAGATTTTGAAATAGGTGGTATTATTAGGGGTACCCCTTAAAGGGTACCCCTTCTGAACCCTACTTTTGGCTCTCTTCAAAAGGACCTTATTGAGAGGGTCTATATCCCCAAGGGTCCCCCCTAATCCTAGCTCCCATGAAAGCTTCGGGATTTCCTTCACTTAGCCGGCTGGCGTTAGAGGTCCGGGGCTGCGCGGGGTTTGCGACAACTCGGTCCGAAGATCGGGGAAGCGTTGTGACCCGAGCCTTCTGTCAAAAGCCTGGCCTGGCCAGGGGGTTCTGCAGACGACCTGGTGCTGCAGCAGGACACACACGGAAACCCTAAACCCTAAACC